GGATCTCCCCCAAGGCACAAGCTGGAATATTCCTTTTCACTCGCTGCAGATACTTTCCTCAGCAGCTTTTTGAGTCTGGCTTTTCTGTTTCTGGAGCGGCGGATGCTGCAGGGCTCCGTGTCGCTAGCTCTAAGTAACATAACTCCACATTTGAAATGAAGTTAGACTAATTGTTCCCATTTAGGACAGTTATCCCTCCCGTCCCACCGAGGTGCTGTGGAATGAATAGTGTCCTGGCAATACTTCAATAGAAAGGTAGATTGTATTTCAGTACTTCAGGTCTGAATGATATTGGAGATTAAATAACACAAAATTGTATTTAATTTGAAATATAACCCCTATTATTTCCAAAATCTGGCAATCAGTAGTATACTTTTGCTAATGAAAGGTGAGTTCTAGCAGAATGGCTAATGGTATTATTAATTAACTGAGGTCTCACAGTAGTACTCTATAAGCATGTTCATAAAAAAAAGTGAAATAGGAATTTTTACTGATTCATCCTACTTCCCTGCTCAGAGCAGCCTCTTGTCACTCCCCCTTTTACATAGACGGCTTTAGACATTTACAGTAATGTACTTAAAATGATGTGTACCTTGCCTTCCTCCTAAGTGAATTATTATGAATATATTTACACAAGGTAGAGCTTATTCACCAATGTGTATCAGGAAACAAGGGGATGTGTATCTTTCCCACTATGATTTTAAAGTGCAATGGACTGTAATTTTGCTCACATAATCTTTTTATTTTTACAAATCAAATCCAATGGGAAACAAGATGATTTAAAGAAAACAAGTGCATTGCTGGTTGGTTGGTTGGTTTATTCCCACTTTACTATATTTTCCTTGTCTGTTGCTTATTATTTTCCTTCATTTTCCCCTCATATAATAACTCTGATATCAAATGGGTCAAAACACATTTCATTTATTCTTGGATTTATGCATTTGAATGCCATCAGTCGCTTTTCACCATAACAGATCTAGACATAAAAGCAGGATTAAGCATTCTTTGCTCTCTTGGGAAAATCTTCATACTTTGGGGAATTTAAGCATTATGTACTTCTAAAATCTCCTCAAATGAAAAGTGGAGCAGGCTGGAGGAGTTAGCTTCTCTATCCCCTTTATTGCAGTAGAGGTTGATAAAACTAAGCAGTAGTATTTTATGCATATTGATAATTACTTTTTAATTAAATTCTTGGTAGGCTGAAGTCACTGTTTACACCTGCCTACCCGTGCCTGGAACCCCCAGCGAGCTGTGCTCCTGGCAGAGCTGCCACACTGGGACCTCCGGAGACCAAACCTACCAACCTACCTGCCACACAACAGCGGTGACGGTGACAATTCAAGGACAATAGGCAGGAGCCTACATAATACACCTCTAGGGGAATTATTAGGTAAAATTCTGTACTTTTTGTCCAAAAAACCCCAAACCAACCACAGAATTGGTTCCATTAATTATTTTTCGATGCAAGTCTGCTTTATTATTTCCATAACCGAACCAGGTGGTCTTTGCAGGGTCATCCTGGCTTTATTTACAATACACATATTAACCAGGGCTTGCTGCTTAGTTTATTTTAATGATATTTTTGAAGTTCACAGAAATTTTTTTGCTCTGAGTGCAACTGAATGAATGAAAGAGACAATCTGGTTTTCAAGATATTATGATAAGATTCTTACATAACTGTACTCATAGTCAAGAAAACTAAAATAGGTGTGAGAAATTAAAACAATTATAAGTCTTCATTTATCGGTGATTCATGACCATGTTAAGAGTGTAAGTGATCATCTGTCAGCTCTGCTGTTAGTTCTACAGAACCAGGGCCAGATTTTTAAAAAGAACAGTTTTCCAAGTTGCTTACCATATTGGAGGCCTCAGTGTTCTAGAAATTGTGTCCCTACACGGTGCTTTGGGCATTGATCTCCAATGGTGTTAAACAGGAATAGATAAGAGGAAAATTTCCACTGATAATTGGAATTTAGGAAATTCTATACCCTTATAATAGGATTAAATATCATATTATTATCTCTATTTTATCTTATTAAAAAACACAATGATTGTGGTTACTTAGACAACAATCTGGGATTTTGGAACAAGGAAAGAAACTGATGAACAATCAGATGCTCTTTTTTCAAAGGCACTTTTCTGATAATGATTACACACTGAAACGGCAATTGCAACTCCATACAAGCAGAAACCAGCACAGCTGCTCTCAAAATAATGGGTACTGCAAGGGCTTGCCTGTGTCAGTCCTTACAACTGACTCTATACTGGGAAAAAATTTAAATCCAGAAATGCTTTTACTTATAAATTATCAGCCAAACAAATAAAACTGCATTTGCCTTTTAGCACAACAACATTGACACCTAGTGGCTGGTTAAACTCCATGTTTGAGATCCTTTGCATGACAAAAACCATAGAAAATGCCATTTATTTACTGAATTTGACATAATAAACCTGCATTTCACCAGCCTGCTCTCTCTACATCACCTCTAGATGATCACAGAAGGAGGGTCATCTTTAGTGACTCATCTGGAGCAACCGGTCCCCATGGTGGGACCTGCTGAGCAGCCACACAGCCCCACTGGGATGTTCTCCCCACTCCTAGGCATGGCTGAAGTGTAGCCCCTGCTCCGGGCTGGTGGTGAGACAGCCCACCACGGTCCATCCCTGGAGCTGTACACAGCTGCACCCAAAAGAAGAACTGCCCTTGCTGAATGCATCGCTACTGGCACATGTAGACATCCATTTTTGGTTCTACTGGCTTCTCTATGAATTACATGGGGACTTCAGAGAGAGGGAGATGAAAATCAGGAACACGACAGATGTCGTGAGACTGTTCGTACTATGAAGACAAGAAAATAAATGATTTGGCAACTTATTTCATAGACACGTAGAAGATAAGAAGGTGCCAATATCGAATAATGTTAGAAAGTCTAATTTCCTCAGTTTTCAACAAAATAACTGACTTAATGGAGAACAAGGAAAGATCAGGGATGATAAATCTCAATTTTACTAGTATTGTTGGTGTTTCCACATTACTTTATCATGATCAAACTCAAATGTGGTCATACACGTCCTCTGCGAACAGCTCTTCTAATGGATGGGGTTCTCGGTGACCCCCTTCGGTGGTACCTTCTGCCCTGCTGGCAAAGGTGCCTGATCTGTTTCATTAAAAATTGGACCTGTTTTTTAATCAGCTAACCAAACAACTCAGAGGCTGTTGAGTTTAAGCCACCTTACCAGGAGGTCTTAGGAGGCAATGATCTCTTGCAGGAAGGTTCAGGTATTTCTTCTTCGCTAAATACTGGTAAGGACTAAATGGCTGTGCTTAGTGTTCTTTAAAAAGATACAAAGAAATCTGAGTCTGAAGAGCAGTAAAACACAGAAGAGCGTAACCTATGTGGAAAGGATGAAAAGCTTCAAAAAGGGAAGAATGTGGGCATATATGTCTTCCAGTATTTAAAGATTTGTTATTAAAATGATGATCCACTCTTGCCTTCTGTATCAGAGGAGGAATGCTCTCTTCAGCAGCAGCTAACCCATAGATTGAGTTACCTCTGGAAAACCGGGCTCCTAAGTTTGGGTTATACAACCACCAGAAATCCAACTTAAAACCGCAGCACTTCCCGCCCTGCAGTTACCCCCCCCTCTTCTCCTTCCCTTATCTTTCCATCCTGTGGGACTTGGATGAGAGAAGTGTCCTTTTTGGTGTCAAAGCACCTTGATGCTAGATTTAAACTGTGGAGATGCTCCCCTAGGATCAAGCTATAATCCATGTACCAAGGGCTAAAGACAGGTCCAGTTTCAACTGCCAATTTATTTAGAAGGCCATTTCTGACCCGCTCCCCCAGCCGGAGCTTACCGTCGCCTACATACCAAAAGCACTCAGGTGATATTGGAAAGCAACATGGTCAGACACCAGAAAAGCATAACATAGTAAAATGAAATTATCCAGCTGCTATTCTCAGAAAAGCTGTTTATAAAATAGCTCCAGCATCTACAAGAGTTGCTGTAGTTGCACTCACTCCAGAATTTTCCTCTGGCCCAGAAACTTTATTTTTTTCTATATGCAGGCTTTTGTGGCCACAGGACAATGCCAAGAGATGCAAGAATTGTAACTCTTCCCTCTACCTTTCCCACTTTTCTTCAAAGTGCATAATCAATGATGTGTTGGCCCAGTTTCCAGAACCATGTCAGGATTCATTCACACTAAAGCAGCCTGCCATTTCCGTAAGAGGAACAACAAAAAGATGCCTGCTATTACAGCTTCGTGGGTATACATTATTTATTTTGAGATATTTAAATTATTAATTAGGATAATTCCATTTTTGCAACAGAGTCTCTGCCCTTTAGAGGAAAGGGGCCGCAATCAGTAGGACTTCAGCAGAAAACCACACACGCTCCAAAAAGCCTTGGTTCCTTTCCACAGGACACTCGAGCATCACCTTTACGTCCCTTCAGAGTGATAATGACATAATGACTGACAAAAACAGCAGGTCAGGAGGAAAAATACTTTTGTTTTTAAAACTGAGATTTGGTGGCCACGGTAAGGAAGTACTACACAAGTTGCCCGAGCAACAACTTATATTTTGCAACTTACATATGACGATGACAGTAGCAGCCTTTCAATGTGGAGAGTTTCCCTGTATGAAGTGTACCTGTGGTTTAAGGAATCAATGACACGGCTGGAAGCCCTGGCCCGGCCCAGAAGGAGGTACCTGCGGTGACCGGAGCCCCCCGGAGCCGGGCGGGAAGCGCCCCCAGCTCCCGGCAGCCGCCCGGGCTGAGGCTGCAGAGCGGGACTGCCCGGCCCCGGCGCCGGAGCCAACGGCGCTGCTTTACAGAGCTCCTTCCTCCGGTGCGACCCGCGGGCTCCCCGGCTCTGCTGCCGGTCCTCGCCGAGAAACGGGGTCACACGCCGCCTCTCCTCCTCCCGACCGCCACACGCGGTCGAAAAGAAGCGAAACCGCTAAAAACGTGTGGAAATCGCTGTCGGGGATTACCTTGCCGAGGCTGCCGGGGCGTTACCGGGGCTGGCGAGCGCGGTCCGAGCCGGGCGAGGGCGGGCAGCGCTCACACCCACGGCCCGCAGCCCGGCCCCGGGGACGGCGGCGGCTCCCGCCCGCCCACTGCGCCCTCCCGGGGCCCTGCCTCCCGCCCGCCTCCCGCCCCGGGGGTGCTCCTCCGCCGCCGCCCCCGCCTCACCGGCTCCCAGCAG